CTCAAAGAGTGTCGGGGGCGGCCAGGTACTGGACTGGCATTGCACCCTTCAATGCAAATGGACTTCACCTCTGCTGGGACAGGAAAGATGCAGTTCTGGGAGTGGACATCACCTGGTGGGGCTGACTGACTGATGGACCCAGCCTAAKTCCCTCTGAAGAGTGGGAGCCRACTCGTCACAAAGTCATGAAAAGTTGATTTCTGTTTTACTATAAATGACCGMGACTCCTAAACTTGCTTGGAATGCCTGGCTTTCCCTGGCCAGAGAGCAACCCTCTCTGAAACCTCAGCGGCGCCTCATAGATTCTGGTGTGGGATCTCAATGTACTCCCTACCTGGAAGTGTTGAACCATTTAGATCATTACCTACTCTCTGCCTTTGTATTATGCTTGTCAAATCCTGTTATCTGTCAGGGCTCAAGACACCCCTGTTTGCAACTTTTTGTGCTATAAACCAYGCTCCTAGAGAGCTGGGGGATTGTCCTCTAACCCACAGATTTGGGGAGAGACAGTCCCGACCGGCTGGAATTACAAGCTTGCTTTAATTTGATTTAAAATTGGAGTTGGCGGTCTTTTCTTTGCCTCGTGGTTTAATGTGACACCCACCTGTTTGTTGTAATCCTACCCTTTTGCTCTTTTTTGGATAGAATGGTCCATGAAACAGCTTTCCCCAATAACAACAGTTGAGCCTCAGAACGTGCCCCCACTTCTTCTCTCCCCACCCCAGCATCTYGTGTTTTCCTCCTGCCCCCCCTTTGTGGGAGCCTGCAGATGRAGGCGGGGAAGCCAGCCTGATACCCAGAAAAAGGTATTTCCATGTCTGGTGGTCATTTTGTGTCACCTCAAATTCACCCGAGTGACCCCGGTGTAGCCCACGCTGGACGGGGCTCCCATGGGAACACTGTCATGGAGCATCTTCGAGGAGGTTGAGTAAGGGTGTTGCTGGGCCAGGCTGGTTCTGCCCCTACACAGGTGGCCATGCACTGAAATTAGTTTTGCAAAAGACAGTTTATGTGCAAGTGGCCACATGTGGAGGGGCGTGGAGTCAGGTGGGGTTTTTGTCTTGCAAATTCAAGAATGAGATTCGAAGACAGCAGAAGGTGAGAGAACAGGATGATAATTTATTAAAGTGCCCTCAAGCTCCTATGGCTGGAGGGGAGCCTAGAGGTTGCCAGTGGGTGCTGTGGTCTAGGGGTTTCTAGGTCTAGGGTCAGCCCTGCCCAATCCCAGGTTAGATCCTTAGCACCGCATAAAAATATAAAATAAAAGAAAGGCATTTTGTCCATCTGCAACTGTTTTCAAAAAGATTTTAAAATCTTGGCATTTGAAACAACATAGAGAAACCTTGAGACATGCTCATTGAAAAAGCAAAACAAATAAACAAGAAAAAAAGAAGACATTATGCTCAGCCAATCAAACCAGACACAGAAAGATAAACACTGCATGACTTCGTTGGTTTGCAGAACCTAAAAAAGTAAGCTCATAGCAACAAGAAGCAGAATGATGGTCATCAGGGGCCAATATTAATCACACCCTATAAGTTCTGATATGTGCTGTTATAATTCAATAAAATATTTAGTGATTGTGGTAGTGTGCACCTGTATTCCCAGCTACTGGGGAGGCTGAATCAGGAGGACCACTTGAGCTCAGGAGTTGGAGGCTGGACTGGGCAACATACTGGGACCCTATCTCAAAATCAATAGTCTCAGCTGGGCTGGCTGAGTGGAACACGCCTGTGATCCTAGAGGCTCAGAAGCTGAGGCAAGAGGATCCTGAGTTCAAAGCCAGCCTCAGCAACTTAGCCAGACCCTGTCTCTAAATACCTTTATTTTGTTTATTTTTTTTTTTTTTTAATGTGGTGCTGGGGATCTAACCCAGTGTCTCACAGGTGCTAGGCAAGTGCTCTACTAGTGAGCCACAGCCCCAGCCCTAAAAAAAATTTCAAAAAGGGCCAGGGATGTGGCTCAGTGGTTAAGTGCCCCTGGGTTCAATTCCCAGTACAAAAAAAAAAAAAAAAAAAACAACCAACCAACAGTCACTTCCTCCTTGTCATCACATCCTGAGCCGCTTCCCTCTGGAGGCCTTTCCTCCATGATGCTCTGCCTCTCCTTGGGCCCAGAGCCATGGTGTCCCCCAGCTGTGGCCTGAACCTCTGCACCTGCTGGGAATTCATCCAGAACCTCAGGCAGGTAAGCAAGCACTCTACCTCTCAGCTAGCTCCCCAGCCCTCCAGGAACCTGGAAACGTGATTCTCAGAAACCCTTGCTCCAGATGTACCCAGATGTATTCTGGATTCAAGACTCAAGAAACAATCTATTTTCCTTCAGATTTAAAGAATGTAAAATATGAACAAAAGTAAGTGAAAATTTAAAAACCACTAAACATTCTCTATTGAGTCTTTGACCCATGAGAGATTGGAAATATATTTTTTTTCCTCTGAGGTTATTGAGGTTTCACTGTCAAAAAGAGTATAATGCAATGTTTCCATGTATGTATGAATAGTGTTCCACACTCACGCTGACCCCCATACCCCTGCCCCACAGCCTCCGTGTGTGTGTGTGTGTGTGTGTGTGTGTGTGTGTGTGTGAGAGAGAGAGAGAGAGAGAGAGAGAGCGACCCACGCAGACCTCCTCTCAGGCTATTGCAAGCCTAGGGTGTGCTGTTGCCCTGCTTCTGCCAGTTCTTCTTCAGTGCTTACTCAGAGCTGAAGGTGCCAGTCCTCTGGCCAAGCCTCCCAGCACCTGCTCTCTTGCTTGTTCAAGCTTCTGTGTGGTGCAGTGCATGGTCAGTTTTGGTCAAGGTCTTGGGTAGTTGTGAAGAACGCGCATTTACAGTTGCAGGCTTGATGTTCTGTGGGCATCCCCTACGTTTTCTTAATTGGTGTTGGAAATCCTAATAAGCTGGCCACGGTGGCGACGCCTGTAATCTCAGCCGCTCAGGAGGCTGAGGCAGGAGGATCGCGAGTYCAAAGCAGCCTCACCAAAAGCGAGGCACTAAGCAACTCAGTGAGACCCTGTCTCTAAATAAAATACAAAATAGGGCTGGGGATGTGGCTCAGTGGTCGAGTGCCCCTGAGTTCAACCTCCGGTACCAATGAATCAATTGATCTTCAAGAAGGAAAGGAGAGCCTCACCAGGGTCCAACTGGAGGCTCGTGCAGAAGGAACAAGCTGATTTTCAGCAGCACTTCCAACAAGCAGCATGCGGGCGGGCTGGCTGGGTTTGCCACTTTTTTGTGGGTTTTGGTACTGCGTATTGAATCCAGAGGAGCTTAACCACTGAGCCGCATCTCCAGTCTTTTTTATTTATTTAAACACAGGGTCTCTCTAAGTCACTTACGGCCTAAATTGCTGAGGCTGGCTTTGAACTTCTGATCCTCCTGCCTCAGCTCCCGAAAGGCTGAGGCCTGTGCCTCCGTGCCCGGCTGACACCCTTTTTGAAACAGTATGCCTCACACATTTAATAAATCAAAAATGCCTGAACCGTTACTAGAGGCGAGAGGATAATAGAAATACAATATTTCTATATGTCAAAATGCATTCTACTGTCATGTATGACTAAAGAAATAAATAAAAATTAAAAAAAGAGAAATACAATATTTCTGACAAAAGTAACTACGGGAGCAGCGATACAAAAACACTACCAGAAAAATGACAGGACCTAGGGTGGCGGTGGCTCTGGGCTCCTCCCCAGCTCGACTTTCTGCTCTCTCCCAGCTCCTCCTCTTGCTCTCTCCTCCTCTCCGCCCGCCCGCAGCTTCTTCTAGTCTTCTCCTCCTCCCCTCCCCAGCCGCTCCTCACTCCTCCTTCCCCGGCTCCTCCTCCCCTCCCCAGCTGCTCCTCCTTCCCCAGCTCCTCCTCCCCTCCCCAGCTCCTCCTCCTTCCCCAGCTCCTCCTCCCCTCCCCAGCTGCTCCTCCTCTGGCTTCTTCTCCCGGTCCGCTGCTCCTCCCCGGCTCCTCCCCTTGCCTGGTTTCTCCTCCCCCGCATCCGACCCAAGTCCTTCTCCCTCCTGTCCGTCCCCTCCTCGTCCCTGGGTCCTCTCGGGCTCCTCCCCGGCTCCTCCTGCTCCCTGTCCAGCCGTCCTCCCCAGTCCCTCCTCTAGCCCGGCCCCCTCCTCCGCACCCAGAGGCGCACGCGCGGTCTCCTGGCTGGTCCCGGCCCCGTGGAGGGATCGATGGTCCGAGCTCGTGCGCGCCTGCTCGCCCTCGGCGCTCGGCTCGCCGTGCCTGCGCGTTGCCGTGGCGACGCGGTCGCGGCCCCGCCCMCGGCCGCTGTCCGAGCGCAGGCGAGGCGTCGAGGCGTGGGGGGCCAGCCGGGCGCGCGCCTGCCGGGCGGCGTGGGGGTCCCGCCCGGCCGCCCGCCCAGCCCCGCGACCCGGGCTCGGCCGCCGCACCTCCGGGGAGCGCGAGGCGGTGCGGAGCGTGGCCCGCGGGTTCGGCCCCCGGCCAGGGCGGCCCCGATGCGCKGCCGTGGAGCCTGCCCCTGCGGCCTCGGGCGGGCGGCGCCCACAGCCTCTGGCCTCTAGCCTGGCCGCGCGGGGAGCGGCGCGGCGCGGGGCCCGAACTCCAGCGTATGGGCGCGCGGCGGCTCATCCCGGGCCGGGAGGACTGGTCAGTGCGCGGCCTGCACACGCAGGTCTGGCTGCACCGCGTGCTTGTGCCCGGGCCTGGAGGTGTCTCCCGCCCAGCTGTCCAGGCCGTGGCGCGGAGGCACGACGCTCGACAGGCCCCAGAGTGGTGCCTAGGCCTGTCCGTGTGGGCACACCACCGTGCCCGGCAGCCGTGACCCGTGGGCCATCCCGAATGGCGCTGCAGGTGGCTCACCAGCTCCCAGAGGCACATCTTCTTTCTTCGCCTCGCCGCCCTGCTAAGGATGTGTCCTGCAAACAGTCCGAACCYCTAACCTCCCCCAGTGCGTTGGACAAGGCATCCTCAAACCTGGCTGCTGTGAGAGTTGTTCATTAGTCCAGAGTGGAGCAGCCCGCAGCCCTCCGCACGCGAGGGCGGCCCGTGCAGGAGCCCTCGCTGGGATGAGCGGCCGAGTCCCGCTGGCAGAGAAGGCCCTGTCGGAAGGCTACGCCCGCCTAAGGTACAGGGACACTTCCTTGCTCATCTGGCAACAGCAGCAGCAGAAGCTGGAATTTGTGCCACCTGGGACATACCTGAGCAGGAGCCGAAGCATGTGGTACTCACAGTATGGAAACGAGGCCATTTTAGTCAGAGACAGAAACAAGCTTGAGGTCTCCCGAGACACAGGACAATCCAAGTTTTGCATAATTATGTAATTCCAGTGTGGAAAGCTGCACTCAAGTGCCAAGCCTTGAGGAAAAGGAGACTAATCTGTTCCGTGGTCCTGTTCATTTCTTGTTGGAGATCTTAAAGACCACGAAGATTGAGCTCCTGTRTAAGAACCCAAGAAGCCCAGCTCCGAGCCCTTTAGCACAGATCAGTGCAACTGGTACCCAGAGATTGCTGGGGACCTTTGTAGCCCAACATTATGACATGCCGCTGCACCAGGCGCTGCAGGGAATGGAGGGCCTGGGCACTGCTGGTCGCTGTGTTTCTGTTTCCAGACAAGACCAACAAGAGTGGCTCCCACCTTGCAACCCCCCTTCAAGGTTTCGTTTGCTGGTTTGCTTTGCTGGGATGGAACCAGGCCTCATGTGATAAGCAGGTGCTCTGCCACGGAGCTATGTCCTCAGCCCTCAAGGTCTTACAGGTTGTTTGAGTAGTAACTTCTGCTTGGTGAAGAACAGGTGAGATCCATCAGCGTGCATGTAGTGGCCAGTGGCCAGCCCAGCAGAGGTGGCAGCTCAGTAGCCATAGTCCAGCACAATCCTCACTGGCCCACAGGCAAGTACATCCTGAACCCCTTAAGGAAACTCCCAAATTTTAAGCTCCACAGGAGTTGCCTACAGTGCTTTCAAACATAGTCCCGTGGTTGAGAAAGGCAGGTCCCTCCCTGGGTGGAGTATTTTGGTCTTTGTACTCTGAGCTGCAGCTGCCCGACATTTGACTTGTCATCTCTGCACACGGGCAACAGTGCCCACCTCTGTGGGCAGTTTCCTCAAGTCATTTTGAAAGAACTTGCCCCCTGCTGTCTTGACCATCCCCATGGCGGTGCAGAATGTCAGGTGTGCTTTGTCCGTGGATTCTCTCATCTAAATAAACATCCTTTAGGATTCTCCTTCCCTCTCATTTTTTAATGTGTTCTTGATCTTACTTGGCTTTTGGTTTCTTGGTGCTACCTGAGGACTGCTAAAGCCTTAGTGCCCCAGAGAGCATCGCTGTCGCAGCGGGGTGCACGTCTCCATGCTCCTACTTTGAGGGCGTCCTCCGCCCATGCATTCCCTCCACTCAGCTGTTCAGACGGGACCTGTTTCTGCCTGTGACACCTAGCAGGTGGCCAGCGGTAGCGCCCAGCTCGTCCCCATTGCACGCAGCCTGTCCTGAGCACAGCGTGCTTGCTGCGCTGGCCCCCTGCAGCGTGCTGGTGCGCTGGCCAACACCACAGGTCAGCTGCAGCCTGGGCCTTTCTGCTAGGCCCCTGGCCTGCTGGCTGCCTCAAACCAGGCTTAAAGTGAGACTTCCTGAAGTGCCACAGTCCCWCAGGGGATGCTCAGGGCTGGTGGACTATCCATCTGCTAGAGGAAGACTTAGCAAAGGCTCACCTATCAAGGGGACCTGGCACTTGGGAACTGTGCCAAGTCTACTAGGTAGTTTCTGTCAACGGGTTTTCAGTTCTTTTGTGTAATCCCTGCTTGGGAAGAAAACAAGCCCACACTTATCTGCAATACCTGAATGCCACCTGCTCACTGCATCTATGACTAACCTAAGGACAGGTCAAGGTCAGGTCAGCATGGGACAACACTTAAATGGGTTGGGGTCTGAGGATACATCAGCACAGGGAGGATAAGACTCACTGGGCCAGTCTCTGGAGGGGTCAGCGGATGCAGGTGACAAACAGGCCTCCACCCATACATAGGACAGCTGGTGCTAAGCTGCTTAGGCTGCAGGAAGGTGCCATCTGCCTGAGGTGGACAGGCCAGTGCTACGCTGGAGAAGGCTGGTCTGAATGTGAAGGATCAGTGTCAGTAGGAGTGACAATCAGCCTGACTCAGCTGGGGTCGGGGTGGACATGCTCCCTGCTGGGGCCAGTCACTTGAGTACCTCCTCTCCAGGAAGATCTGGGACCACTCTCCATGGCCATCTTGAGCAGTGTTGGGACTTTGTCCAGACCTGTTCTTGGTGCACTCCGATCATGCCTGGCCTGCTGGACCCAGAAAGAGGGCTGGATGCCTGCACCACAGGCAATGGTGAGGGGCAAGTGCTAGGGGAGGCCCAGCAGGGGGAGTGCCCGCATCTCTGAAGGCGGCCTGGGGTGGGGACAGGGGCGCRGGAGACGGGAGCCTGGCACACTCGAGGTCCCAGGTTCTCCCCCTCACACACAGCAGCCTGTCCCAGAAGAAAGTACTAGGAAGGAGGGTGGAGCTCTCAGGGAGGCCAGGCGGCACCCCAAACCCCAGTGCCTCGGCCAGGGGGAGGGCGGGAGCTGTGGGATGCTCTGGGTGCCTCTGCCAAGAGCTTCACCATGCAGCCTGAGTCAGGGAGCCGCCGCAGAAAGCACAGGACAGCACACAGTTGGCCTTTTTCTTCTTCTTTTTATTATGAAAACAAAACAAATGCCCCAGGAGAAGGGTCCATGATTACCAGAAACATCAGAGTACTCTCTACCATTTTTATTCTGTGGTGTTGAGGCCAGCATTGCAATAAACAAGCTAAACTACTTACACCGGACTCTTTTTCAGTAACTGACATTTACAGGAATATACTAGAAACGGCACTAAAAAGTTAAGAAAAGTTACGGTAAACTTGCATGCACATCATACAGAAAAGTAACATTTTAGATATAAAAAGGAAAATGTCCTGTAAGTGTTAGTGTCATCAGGGAACAGCGGTACACAGTGGGTGTGACAGCCTTGAGGCGGCATTGCTTTTCCCAGTGACAGTAAAAGGCGGGACACTGAAAAGAACAAAACCAAAGGAACAAGAAAACGCACATCTCGGTCTGTGAGCAAGCCTGGGGCGGGCCAGCAGGAGGGCCTGGGCCCGGGGCCACCCAGGCCTGGCCTGGCCTCCAAGGCTCCTCCTGCCCTTCCTGCRCCCTTCCCAGGGAAGCCTGCCGAGAGCTGCCCTACGGCTCTCCGCAAGGGACAATCTAATGGAGCCACTGCAGTTCTCCCCACATAGGTGAGTGGGGCGCCAGGCGCCCACAGCTCACACCAAGGGTCTCAAGGGAGTCGCTGACCCTCCAAAACTGAAGAGAAACAGTGTTGAGTCTGGACAGAAGGCCTGAAGTTACAGCACCAAGAGCTGTGCGCTCAATGAGGCCACAGCCCGGGAGCCGCTAAGCCAGGGACCCTGCGAGAAGGGCGGGTGGCGGTTGCGTCAAGCATGGTGGACAGTGGGCCACTGCACCGACTCCAGCTGCTTCTCCCGGGCAAGCTCCCACGGGCGACACCTCACTATCTGCAGCTCCCCCAGGGACCCTGGCCGGGGCCTGTGCCTCACCCAAGAGTGCACTCCTGGAACTTCACCACTCAGATCCTGTGCGAAGACCTGTCGATCTCGTGTTAATTCCTTAAAATCACAGTTTAAATATTCTATTAAAGATCTATTTAGAAAATACCTTTGAAAAACAAGGGTAACTTTTAAAAATGGAACTTTAAAATCCATTTATATTTTTACTATAAACAAAATTGACTTAAAAGTTTAACAAGCCAAGTGGCAGAATTGCCGGCAGCCCACCGGGCACTCCCACACCCGCGGAGGGCCAGGGACTCAAACGTCACCTGCCCAGGAATGCCCACGACCAGTCCTATATTCACCCAGGCGTGCCTGTGGGGACCACGGGCCACCAGACCAAGCAGCCGAGGCATGGACCCCACAGCCCCTGGGGCCCTCATCTGGGGGTCTGTGAGGATACCTAGGGCAGGCGTTTCTCCAGCAGGCAGCACTGTGTGGACCCCAGGGTGGCCTCCATGCCTGGGCAGACCGGCCAGGCCCCTGGAGGCTTGGGTGAGCAGGGGGCAGGCCGGCCAAGGCCACGGTACGCAGAGCTCGGCTGGGCAGAGCTCGGCTGGGCCAGACGGCAGCCTCCAAAAAAACAGAACCAAACAGAACCTTCCGTTAAACTCTGTATATTATTACTTTTTACAATAGAAAGTTAAAAATCGAGCCTTTGATTTACTATACATTTCTTTTCTCTCAGATTACAAAGCTTATGTTATAGAACTGGGGTTCCCTAAGTTGATTTTAAGTCTTAAAGAGACCGTAAGTGAATATGAGAGAACTGAACCAACGTAAATACCTAAGTGTGCTGTAGCTGAGAGGTGTCCCCCTTAGTAAGTCTCCAATGTTACAAAAACAAAAGCAGAAACAAAGTAACCCACGAGAAGAACCAAAAAAGYCACCGGACTCAGGAGGAGCACACAGACGGATGAGCACCAGCCCGGCAGGCGGGGAGACCGGGGCCCAGAGGCCAGGGCCCGGAGACCAGCGTCTCTGTGACTTCTCCTAATGCACTTCTTTCACGGTTTTGTTTTTCTTTTCTTTTTTCTTTTTTTTTTTTTTTAAAAAATGACCAATGATGTTAATAAATAAAGTATTTATATATACATAAACTAGGGAAGTGGTTCCAGAGTGTGCGGCAGCAGCCAGGGCAGCACTGACCAGATGGGGACACACGGGCTGGACTTTTATAGAAAACCGCTGAACCTTACAAAAAAGTCTCTCTTTTTAAATTTTTTTTTTTTTTTTTTTTTAAGTTGAGGTAAAAGTTTCAGTGTTGGAAACCCGGACGCCGCACATGCAGTAGCTGTGTTCCGTCCCAGAAGCTCCTGCTGCTGCCGCTGTGGCCGGAGACCAGACGCCCGCCCGCACACCCGCCCCACGGCACACTCGCTGCACAGCGCCTCGCTAGGCTCAGCGGGGCCTCACTGGCAGGCACACCTGTCCTTGGCCCCGGCAGGGGTGACCGCAGTGGCCCGAGGGCTGGAGCCCCAATGGCAAAGATACCACACGCTGGCAAAGCTTTCAATTCAGTACCCACGTCAGTCTCCCTCCAAGGACAGCCCAGGTTGGGCTGGGAACAGGGACTCTTCAAGGTCCTTCAGATCCTGCCTCGCAGGGTCCAGGGGTCGCTGTCAGGTTAGCATCTGAGGCCGTCATCTCCAAGCAACTGAACCGAGTTACGAAGAAAAGACTAGCGGGGCCACACCTTCTCGGAGTCCGATGCACGCACAGGGAGGACCTCTGACCTACTGGAGCAGAACTGGAAGATACCATAACACTGAATCAAAGAAGACCTGCACACCATGGAACAAAGCAGTGTATTAACCACGGGCACCGCAGGGCTCGCTGTGGGCATCCTCCGCCTGCTGCTTCCAGTCCCGTCACTCGGAGTCGCTGCTGTCGGAGCTGGACCCGCTGGAGCTGCTGCTGCCCGACTCCGAGGAGCTGCTGCTGCTGAGCCGCGATGGTCCCCCAGAGGGCGCGGAGCCGGATTTCTCTGCAGGAGACACAGGGCGGGGAGCTGGGGACAGGCACTGCACACCACGTTGTGTCACAGTTCACCCCCTTCTTGGCCTAGCAGTCAATAAACACCCATTGAGATGAATTCACGAGGGCAGTGAGACCACTTCAGCTCGCTCCAGAGGGGACAAATGCAGTCTGCTAAGGGGAGCTGGCACTGCCTGGGGAGGGCACAGCCACCAGCTGAGGGACAGCGGTGCAGGCCCTCCTGGAGCACCCTTGCTGCCTTCCACAGTGCTGGCAGGGGCACTTGGCTGTCCCAACACGAGGCAGAGGGGCCTCTGCCAGGCTGTGGCTCTCGATGGGCGTCCAAGCAGGCCAGACTAGCCAGGGACTGGGCTCCTGCCATCAGCCCCCAGCCCATACCATCCCCCAGGTGTGTCTCAGCGGCCTGCTCCTGGGGTGTTCAGGGAAAAAGACAGTTGCTCTTTCTTCAAGGCCCCAGAAAAGGGAGGCAAGGACTCAAATACCCGCTCGCCTAGCCACAAGTCTTGGGTGTGCACCAAGCAGAGGGCCCGGCTGGGACAGCCCCGTGGAGGGCGGGTGCCTAGCTGTGGTGGTCAGGAAGCTGGCTGCAGAGAGGCTGGGAGGCTGCCCAACAGACTCCAGGCTCTCCCTGCCAGCAGGGCCATCTGCCTCTGCCTCTGGGAACGTGGGGCTTGTAAGTATACCTCACACGTGGAACCCCCCGTGGCCTGGGCTGGGGCCACACAGGCCACAAGGACAAGCTGAGGCTTCAGGGGCTGAGTGCCCCATCTCAGAGCAGAGCTCACTGGCGAACCCAACTGCACGCTCGCACCCCTGGTGACCACTGCCCTCCAGACAGAGGGCACGGGGCCACCCCGTGGGTACCTTTCTTGGTGGGCTTCTTGCTGTTTAGCTGCCCACTGACGTCCTGCAGCCGCTTCTCCAGCTCCTTCTTCTTCTCCTGGGCCAGCTCCTCCTTCGACTTGGCCRCCTGCTTCTTCCCGCTTGTTGCTGTGCAGGGACAGATGAGCACTGAGAGCCACCCAGGGGCCGCAGCCAGCCCTCACCTGCTGTGCACCACTGCCTGACCCCAGGCCAGTGCAGCCCCTGCACAAAGCTGCACCCAGACCCCGAGCCACAGAAAGGACCAGATGACATGGAACCACACCCTGAGCGCTCGCCATGTGCAAAGCCTTGTTTTTAAGGCTTTTTTTCAAGGATTCTGAAGGGGAATGGGTCCTTCCCACCCACTACTGGGTACACAGAAGAGGCGTGCCACCCGCTCGTGGGAAGGACAGGGCAGTCCTGAGGCGGAGCCCCAGGCAGCCCTCCCTCATGGYGAMACCTGCCTATCCCCTGCCTGTGCGRCAAGGCTATTGTGTTCTGAAGTCTGGGCTCCATACCTGACATGTCACTGCCTCCAAGTGGACAGGTGACTTACCTGGTCTAATGTGCTGTGGCCACACAGGCCACACGGACAGGCCATCCAAGGGAAGGAGGCTGCCTGTGCAACTGCACGCAGGTCACGTGAGCTGCCACCCTGCACAGCCTGTAGGGCTACTGTGGGACCACTAAGGTCTGTCCCCAACCTGACTCCAGCACCTGCAGACCCAGTAAAATCACTGACTTTCTAGGGGTGTCTGGGGGGAGGGCTGGAGTCCACCCTGTGGACACTGGGCCCCAGTCCAAGGASGGAAATCCGCCCCTGCAGCTGCTACACAGCCCCAAAGAGAGCCTCGGGAAGGTGTGTGACGACCCCAGCCAGACGCTGAGTGAGTGGTGGCGGGCCACCTGGGATTCTGCCTTCCCTAGGCAAGGCTGAGGCCTCAGAGCAAGGCAAGAGGGCTGCAGAGGCTCAGCCCCTGCCAGATGCTCTCAGGGCACAGCGTGGGGGGCCGTGAGGACAGAGGAGGGAAGAGGGAAGGGGCTATGACCCTCCAGGTGACTTACAGAAGGGCTTTCTCTGCTTCTTCTGTAAGCAAGACTTGACATATCTCTCCAGTTCCCTTAAGGTGGTGGGTTTCAGAGTCTCGAAGTCGATCTCGATCTCGTCAGGGTTGGAGTCCCTGAGGGAGGGCTCCCGCGACTGGATGATGTGCACCACGCGGCCCAGCTTCTCCCCCGGCAGCCGGTTGATGTCCAGGCTGAGCTGGCGCTTCTCATCGTAGCTCATGGGCAGGCCCTCCTCCTCCTCTTCAGAGTCGTAGGACGCAGACGCCTGCTTGCTGCCCTTCTTCAGCTGTCTAAGGCACAAGACAGAGAGCATGGCCTCCAGTCCCAGCCACCACAGGCTGGATGACCCCTGGGGGCAGAGCTGCTGGGCAGACCCTGCTTCAGGGTCTCGGTCAGGGTCAAGACAGCTGGCCTGGCCTACAGCCCGCTCCCCTCAGCACCCCACAGCACTTTCAACCAACACCCAAAGCAGGTGTCCACGGCCCAACCATCCAAAAGAAGGCAGGGAGGGGGACAAGAGGGTTGGGGGCATCCAGACCTGCCATCAACTGCAGGACCACGCATGGCCCAGGCACGGCCTGCAGCGGGGAGGAGGACAAGAGCAGGCCTGTCCCGAGTGCCACAGGAGCAGGCTCCGACGAAGCCCACGGCCACACCTGCCTCAGAAGTGGGCTTCAGAATGAGGGAGAGCCTCAGGGAAAGGGTCGTGACCAGGGGTCTGCTGACCGAGGGGTGTCCAGGAGCCAGGCCTCAAGATGTGAAGCCAAGCTGGGCAACAAGGGAGGCTGGCCCCACACGACATCAGACTTGCACAGTTCCCCCAGGCCAGGAGTGACATGGGAGCCAGCCACCAGCCACCCAGATGGGCACACTGTGCCCGCCTGGAGCTCGGAGACCACCCACCCTAGGAGGACATCTGCCCTCAGAGAAACGCCATGTGAAATAAACCCTAGCAAACTCAAAAAGTGTCGGAGTCACAGAGCAGGTCCCGGGACCTAATGGACTTAAACAAGAACCCAATCACAGCAGGAAAAATCCCCGAACGTTCAGAAGTTAGAAGACCCAACTCCAAATGACCCAGTGGTCAAAGACGACGTCTTTGACCGAATGATGCAACTGGAGTCCTTCTGTAGCCTGCAGCCAAGCGGACAGCGCTCATGCGAGGTCAGACTGCCAGGAGCACCCATCAGCAAGGCCCAGGGGAGCACTCTGTGACCGTGTCCTAAGAGCTTGCAAGGAGAGGGACCAAGTCTAAAAGGCAGAGCAAGAGCAAAGGCCAGAGGTGAGGGCAGGAGAAAAGCTGAAGGAACCTCGGCACGAGTAGTGACACCCACAGTGTCCATGCAGACTCCAACACAGGGACGGAGAGGCGCATCACGCCTGGTCTGCAGGTGCCAGGGGAACATGACACACAGCCTACATGCAGACACGTCCCAAAGGGAACATGGGAAGACACACATRGGCCTAGTGAGCTCACACGATTCATATCCCAGATCATGAAAACACGTGAATTTGTGCTCACAGACTTTTCAACAATCAAAACCTTTAGGTCCAGATGGGTTTTGCTGGTGAATTCTACCAAACGTTTAAGAATTTATACCAATCCTACAAATCTACCACAGAAAAGAGAAGAGGGGGTTGCTCTCGTTTTCGTAGTCCCTGACCACTCTGAGTGTTACAATCCACTTTTTTCCTTGGGTACTGGGGATGTAACCCACAGGCACTTAACCACTGAGCCACATCCCCAACTGTTTTTTTTTTTTGTTTTTTTTTTTTTTAATTTTGAGACAGGGCCTTACTCAGTTGCTAAGGCTGGCCATGAACTTGGGATCCTCCCGTCTCAGCCTCTGGAGGTGCTGGGATTCTAGGTGTGCAGYACCACACCTGGCTTTTGTATGTCACCATTTTTGCAGCTGGCATAATACTGGCACCAAACCCAGAAAGCAAAGAAAGCCAGAATCTGCAACCCYCTCCTGAAGAGAGGAAGGGAAGGAGGGAGGGAGGGAGGGTGTTGAGAGCCACAGCCGAGTCGGAATGGCCCCTGGCATTTTGCCAGAAGTAATGGTGAGAGGCGAGCCATTAAGATGATGCTGGATTGATTCAATTGTACATAGACCCCTGCTGACCGACTCTGGAGCCCGCTACTTTGGAGTTCTCCTGGGGAATTCCTGGGGAGTTTGTGTTGGTGGGTGAAGTTCCGGTGGAGGGAGTTCCAGTTGGTGTGGTGTGCGGGAGAGGGGCCGCGTGGGTGGCGTTCGGGAGAGTTCCCGGGGAGTGTKCGTGGAGTGCTGTTGGAGTTCAGGCAAGAAAGTTTCCTGTTTGAACATACAAGTGCTTTGTGGCAGCTCAGTGATTTGTGCCCAGCCAGACTGCGGCAGGAGGGGAAGTTGGAGACAGGAAAGCATACCCCACACTCTCCCACTCACCAGCTCCATCTCCCCCCAGCCACCAAAGCCTGACCCCGGGATCCACAGCCCTGCATCCACACCAAGGCCTGTCACTCGGACTCCCAACACCTGGCAACTGCTACACCAGCTGCTGCCCTCACCCACAACCAGCTCCAGTGAGGTGCCAGGGTCTGGCCACTTCAGTCCTTGCTCTCKGCCCAACCCCCTTCTCAGCTTCCTCAGCAGGACAATTCTGCCCTCACTCCCAAAGGAACACACCTGCTGGCCTCCAGGTGCTGCCCAGCAGGGGTTGCCCACCCCCCACCCCCGCCACAGGACGCGCATCCTGCAGCTCCTCAGGGCGGCCACGGCAAGAGCTCATCAGAAGGCTGGGTGCTGAGGCACCACCCATCACACTGACCCCTGCCCTACTGGGTGGGCCAGAATCCGAGAACACAAGACTCCCAGAAAAGACCCCTAGCCCAGATCAGGAAAAGGCCCCAGGTTCTTGACAGGTGGAGGTAGACGCAGCYGGGAGCTGCGTGTCCAGGAGCCCTGCGTGCATTCCCAGGCAGCCGAGCCCAAGCCCCCGCCCCCGCCCCCGCCCCCTGGGCTGCAGGGCTCACCTGCCGGCCGTGGTGCTGCTGGCCTTCTTGGCCGGGGCCTTCTTCTGCGGAGCCTGCTTGGCCGGCGGGATGCCCTTGGCCTTCTTCTCCTCCTCAGGCTTGGCCTTGTGCTTCTCCTTCTCCCTGTCCTTGTCCTTCTTCTTTTTCTCCTTTTCCTTCTTCTCCTTTTTCTTCTTTGGTTTGTTCACGGGGGCCTGAGAGAGGGCGGCCAGCTGCTCATGCACGGCCTTCAGCTAGAAGAGAGTGGGCGGCTGAGTAGGGCTCTCTGCAGGCCCTGGGCACAGGCTGGCTGTGCAGCGGGGATAGCCAGACAGGGCAGGAAGCTGTTCGGACCCTCTTCCTGGCTCCAGGAGGCTGCTGGCAGTCACTACCCCTCTGAGGCCATTTCTTCACCTACAGGGCATGGGGCACCATTGCCCAGAGCAGGCGGGATGCAAGAGTCCTCAGCAATAGCAGCTGGTGTTATTGCTACCTGTTTTCATTTTGTGTGGGTGAGTGTGGTACTAGGGATCGAACCCCAGGGTGCTCTGCCACTGGGCGACACCCAAGCCCACCTTGCTATTCTTTATTTTAAGGCAGGGTCTGAGTTTCCCAGGCTGCCCTGGAACTTGCTGTCCTCCTGCCTCGGGCTCCCGAGTGGCTGGGATCACTGGTGTGTGCTAGCACACCCAAAGACTATTACTGCCTTCAGGTGAGAATGATGCTGGAGGTGTAAGTGCCTGAGCAAGACCACTGGTGCAGGAGGCATGCAGGAGGGGCGAGATCCAGGGCCTGCAGCTTACATTCCCTGTAGCCACCCTGCAGCCYGCAGAGCTGGGAGCTGCACCCTCATGTCAGCAGCCTCCTCTAAGCCAGGGAAGAGGGGCACCAGGTCCACGCCCTGCAGGTGAGCAGATGGCCTGTCCCATGGCCTCTCTTCATGCCCAATCAAATGTCCAGCCCAGTTCTGGGGAGCAGCCCTGTGCTCACAGCCAGTGTTCCCTCTGACGCGATGCCCCCCGCCCACAGGGCTGGCTGTGCAGGGCAGGGGAGGCAGGGCTGGGAGGGGAAGGAGGGCAGAGCTGGTCAGATACTCAGGGGCAGCAACCTTTCTGCTCAGAGTCAGAGACCCCACCCCAAGGCCCATCAGGTCTCCGACAATGTCCAGGACACATGTGCCCATGCAGTGCCACGTGCTCTAGCTGCGCACACGTGGAAGGCGCCTGGCCCCCCAACCAAGTCTTCCAACAAAGCCCACTGAAGGACCACTGGGCTGCACTGATGGACGCCCAGTGGGTGGGAGGGGAAGCTATGACCGCAGCAGACCCTGGGCAGACAGGCCTGAGCCCACGGTGAGCGCAGGACAGCCTCACCTGCTCCTGCAGCTCTGCCAGCCTCGTGGCTCGCTCCTCCTCTGAGTCAGAACTGCCCGAGTCGGAAGAGCTCTCCTCGCTGCTGCGGCTGCTCTCTGTGCCCTTGCTGACCACGGGGGCCGTGGGTGTGGGCAGTGCTGGTGCCTCCACCGGCTCATCTGGCATCTTGGCAAACCTCATCTCAAACACGTCCTGGGAAAGAACAGGGGCGACCTTGAGTATCTGGCTCCCAGAGGCAGCACCTCGCCATGGCCACCATTCTGGAGGCCCCCGTACACACAGAGCTGCCTGGTGGCTTGGGATGAGGGTCAGGGTCTGCTTGCCTGGAGTGCTGCGTTAGCTCCCAGCTCACCGCCCTCCTTCCCAGGTGGTTTCTGAATGCAGGCCTGGGAGCAGAGCCAGAGCCAGCCTTCCAGAGTGGGGCACACAGCTCTCCTGGTTAAATAAATCTGCAAGGCTCTGTGGTCAGGTCCCAGAACCGCCAAGCTGACCCACTGTGGACCAGGGAGAGTGCCTTCCTTGAACCCTGACTGAGGCCCTCTAGTCACAGGGATCTGGGGCCTCCTGCCCCTTCCCCTGGTGTCAGTGCAGGGCCTTGTCTCCTAACAATTAGCTACAAAAACTGACTCAAGAGCAAGAACCTTGTCCTTTCAAACTCGGCTTTGAGGGCAGGCCGGGGCGTGTGGTAGAGCACTTGCCTAGCACATGCTAGGCCCAGCGCTGCAGAAGAAAAAGGTGGGGGAAGCTTTGGAAAGCTCCTCAGTAGCTCCTACAGGATTACCTAGGCCTTTGCAAGCCCCTTATGGTGAAGGGCACCACCCAGATTGGTGTCCCACAGTGAAGTGAGAGCCCCCTGCCAAGTGCACACTGCCCCAGGCTGGCTCACACAAGATGGCCCCACTGAGCTGGTCTAGCTTCCTCAGCAGCCCATTCTGAATTCTGCCTCCGAGACCTTCTCTTCAGGGGGAGCCGTCCCCAGAGTAGGCTGCCCTCAGAGCCCTGACCTGGGGAGACAACCAGCCTCAGAGGCCATTCCAGGCGGGCAGCTTGTTAAAGGTGCTGGGCTYCAACCCATGGCCTGACTGAACAGCTCCCTCCAGCAAGCACTAAGCAGGTGCAGCCGGGAAGACCCTCAGCCTCCGGGGCTATGCCGCTGACAGCCAGATTCGGGACACAGCGGCAGAGCTGCAGCCTCTGCTGAGCACAAGCACAGCTGGCTGGAGCCCAGAAGCGTCCCTGGTAAGGAGCACAGTGTCTRGCAGAGCCTCGGGGTCCAAAAGAGTGAGCAGGGTCTCGGCATAGTTCTGGGGTCTACAGGGACCTCTGGGGTGGCTCTGCCCTGTGCTCCAGCAGGCACAGCCCTGTAGGGAAGGGCCTCACCGGGCCACCGCACAGAGGGCCCAGACAGCTTGCTGGCAGCATAACCCAGGACGCCACCTGGAGCTCCCCTACGGGGCGCCAGGATGGGCCTAAGCCAGGGAGTCAGAACGGCTCTCAGGACCTTCAGTACAAATATCAGCCATGATTTGTTTTCCCCACCAAAAGGGCTGTTGATCATATAAACTTGAAACTGAGACTCTTCTTTATTTTTTTCCATATTTTTACTGCTGCATTATTATCATGTACAATGGGATTCACTGTCACAGGTCCATATGTGCACACAACTGGGACTGTTCTTCAAAAAGGCAAACAACCTGCAGCCGAACCTGAGAGGTAAACAGGGCAGGTCCGGCCCAGGCACAGGCCTCAGGGCGAGGCCCAGGCACATGCTCCTGGCAGAGGCTGAGCCCACTGCCCGCCCCCACCCCCCCAGGAGGTCTGCAGCTCCCATGCTCGCTCCAGAGCTGTGGCTCTCGCCAGGGGAGGTACAGTAAGGTGGCCCTGGCCTGACGGTTGAGCCTCAGGAGCAGGACAGCTGCACCCCAGTCAGCCCTGGGGGACAGGCCCTCCGACAGCAACACCCTGCGAGGCCTGCAGGTGGGCACAAGATCCTGCAGCCATGAAGGCACTGCTTGCTCGCTGGCCATGTCCCCAGCAGCCCACGGCTCCTGGAGGTGGAGGCTAGCCTGTCTACCACAGCATCTGAACACCAGGCTCCAAGCCTGCCTCAAGCCAGCACCCATGGAAAATGGGTTTTGAATGATGCTCCCCCAAGACTTCCTAGCTGGGTATCTCTGAGACACTTGTGTCCCTCCTGGGTGCCCATCCTGTATCTAGGGTCCGGGTGCTCCCAGTGCCAAGTCAGCTCTAACTGCTCCTATGCCCAGCCTCAGGTTACCTGGAGCTTCCTGGCCATGGCCACCACCTCATGGTCTGGAGGGTTGTACTTATAACAATTTGAGAACATTAACCGGACGTCGGCGGCGAAGCCCTGCGCGTCTGGGTACTCGCGGCTGTCCATCTTCCTCTGCAACACACAAGCAGTGGGCATGAGTGGGCAGGGTCTGGCGACCACACGCTCCCAAGCAGAGCCTGCCCCAGACCCTGCAGGATGGACTCAGGGTCACCACAAGCCCAACGCAGCACCAGCCAGACACCCCAGCTCTCTGGAACTTCAGGTGTGGGCGCCTACAGGGAGGGAGGGGAAGGGACTCATGGCTTAGAAGGGCAAGTGGAATGTGGAGACAGAGTCCCTGGCTGGAAGAGGCACTCTGCCAGGAGTGGCGGTCTTCACCACCACCCACCCCTCCCTTGTCCAGAGTTCCYGATTCCATGCAGCAGTCAGCACCCCACACAGAAGGCTCCCCTGTGAGGTCCCACCCTGCCGACCACAGGAAGCCTGTTCAGCTACAGAACAAAACATCGCATCTTTTTCATGGGGATTTGGTCACTGTCACTGTCACCCAGGTTGTGGCTTACAGAAGCAGCATCTCAGAGCCCAAAGGCAGCTCATGCCCCCTCCAGGGAGCCTGGAGCCAGCAGGGAGCCACAGAGCCCCTGAGGCCTAGGCCTGCAGGACCCGGTGGGAGGGGCTGGAGGCACAAAGCTAGGGAGGGGCAGCTGGGCAGGGGAAGACAGGAATGGGACCACCCACAAGGGGACATCTCAAGGTCGCATGGAGGACAAACTGACTGTGGAGGCCAGGACTCGGGGCCTTGAGGGGAGAGCAGACAAGGGGTGGCCCAGGAGGCCGTCAGTCCAGGTGCCGGTGAGATGAAATGGCTGGGCACCAACTCCCAGGGGTCAGAGCAGCCACCTCCAGGAGCCACCCCGTGCCTCTGGTCACGCACCCTCTGCAAAGGACTATCTGGGGTCATGGGGGAACCAGAAAACCTTCTGATATCAGGGGAAAAACCTCACGTCCAATTTCAACAGTGCCAGGATGAGACACGCCCAGAGCTCTACTTTCAGAACCTGTGGTGTGGGGCACGGCCTGTTACTGTCAGGTGATGCTAAGAGCTGTGGCTGCCTTGTGCTCTTTTCTACTACCACCTGCTCGTGAAGGACATGGCAGTGGTAGTGAAGCCGSGCTCAGCTGTAGACAGTGCATCTAGGCAACCCTGCTCTGCCCAGCGTGAGGGGCCCGGGAGGCCCAAAGCATGCTGTGACTTCAAAGTGGACCAAGCTTGCAAGATGGCTTTACTCTGGAGGAGAGCAAACCAGCCCCTCTGAACCAGCATGGCAGGTAAGGTCTTGAAGCAGCCCACATGCCAGACCCCCAGCCTCACTCTGGAAGCTGCCACTGCAGCCTGTGCAGACACAGGAGCCCAGCCACAGCGAGCGGAGGCTCCTGGCACCTCTGTGTCACACCCAGGGCACTTTATCCAAGTGAGCACAGGCCTTCCAGACATCCACTGACCACTGGGCAGGATGTCCTCACCGGACTGCCCTGGGCTGTCATCACTGTGAACGGAGACTGAGGGCTGAATCAGCCTCCACAGACCAAATGCCAACAACGGACAGGACCACTACCCACACGTGGAAATCCTTCCAGGGCCCAAGAGGTGGGCCACGCCTGCCAGAGCTGCCCTGCCCAGGAGGGCAGAGCACTGTGGGGACCTCGGCCAGCCCAGGCTGCACCCTCTCTCTACGTCATGGCCCACTGAGGCCCACTCGGCTGAGACCCGCCTGGCTCCACCTGGCAGAAGACACACAGCCCAGCAAAAGGCAGGATCTGGAGAGACCCTGTCTGGGGACGGGAGCTTGGGTTCATCTCCAACGGTGGCCACCCAGCTCTGGTCCCTGCTAAGGACCTACACCTGAGGCTTGAGGGCAGCACYGGCAGCTCTAAGTCGTGCCTGCCACAAGGTGGGCCATCTGAAGGCCTCCCTGCCCGAGGGATAGGCAGCCACAGGCGTGGGCCAGCTGGCGGGGCACCCCGCCCACCTTGACGGTGCTGAGGTCCATGGGGTGCTTGATGATGTCGTGGTAGTCATGCAGCTCCAGCGCCTCGGCGTCCACTGGCTTGTAGAAGGGCCAGGCGTAGGCCGCGTGCTTCTTGGACAGCATCTCTCTGAGGATGCTGTCGCAGTGCCGCAAGTGCTCGGACAGCTTCCCCTTCTTGCCCGCGTGCTGAGGCACCTCACCATCCTCCAGGTCCTTCTTGGGTGGCTTGATGGGGCGACCCCCGCTCTCACGCCGGGCCACCACCTTGGCCTGCTTGGGGTCTGCCAGCGGCGGGGGSGACTCACTGCGGCTGGCGGTGATAGCCGCTGTGGTGGGCGTGGTTGTGTCTGCTTTCCGCTTCACGCCCTTTTTCTGTGAGAGCAAAGTGACCAGTGAGCACCCAAGGTAAGGCCCTGGCGTGGGCACGTGTCTCGAGGCACACACTTCTGGAGCGCAGACCTCACTGCATCCTCCCTACCGAGGACACCGAGGCTCAGAGTGGCCAGCTGCTGGCCATGGTCACACAGCTGGCAGTGGTGAGGCTAGGACTCTGAAGCCTGCCCTTGCCGGACCTGAGGGCCTCACCTCTCTCCCTGGGCCCCGCCATCCAGGTGGGCTCGCTCAATACCACCCTGGGTGAAATGAGGAGCCACACGCCACCCACCCAACACCTGAGGCGCACCTCAGCCCAGGCCCAGCACCAGGGGCTGCACACTGGAGGTCTCCCTGCTTTCAAAGACCAACAGAGAGCGCCAGAAGGGGACCCCGAGCTGGGCTTCAAGAACAGACACAGTGGTTGGTGCAGGATGAGGGGGGCGGCAGGAGCATTCTGGGCTAGACAGGTGGGGGCAGCCCGACCAGGGGACATGAAGCAGCCACAGCAGGTTTGAGGCCAAGGGACTCCAGGAACTGTGGGGTTGGCACGTCTGGACTGTCCAGAGGCATGGGCAGCCACCACTGGCTGTTCTAGGCCAGGAGCCTGATGCAGCAGAGTGCTGTGTGGCCGGGCCTGAAGCAGAGCCGGTGGCAGCACACAGGGCCTCCATCACGAGCAGCTCTGACACTCAGGCAGCCCAGGTATGAGGGTCTCTCCTGCAGCCTGCAGGGGCAGAGGGCCCCGGGCATCACCGGTGAGTCAGGGGCAGGGCTTGACGTGCTCCGAGACCAGCTTGGGGGAGCCGTCAGCTCAGATGAGGTGGAAGGAGAAGCCAAAGGGAGCCACAGCTCCCCAGTGGGCTGCCAGCTGCCCAGGGGTCTGCTGTGAGTGGCCCACATCGATGCCCAGCTAAGCTGCTGCCCTCAGGCTGACGGGGGCATGAGCCAGCTTCCACAGACAGTTAAGGCACCCATGGGATGCCAAGCACAAAGCGCGTGCCCCGAGGGCCCCGGGGAGGGGGACAGGCTCGTCTGGCTCTGGCAAACGGGACATGCTCCAAAACAGCCCCGCGCCATGGGAAGTGGCCTGGCCAGGCGCCACCCAGAAGTGCAGGCAGTGAAGGCCACGGGGAGGGGAAAGCGACGGGGGTGGCGTTTTACCTTGGGAGAGCCATTAAACCCTGTCGCCCGCTTCCTCATCTGTAAGAGGGGGGACTACTGTCTGCCCCAGAGGGTAGCTGTGAGGATCAAATCGAAGAAGACAACACGTGTCAGTGGCTGCATGGGCCTCGTGAGCCGCGTCCTGCGGGAGAGCCAGGCCTAGCCAGGACGGGGCGGTGCCCATGGTGAAGAGCTCCCAGCAAGCAGGGTGGACGGAGGCCCTCAACACCCAGCAGTGCCACTCACTGGCCACCTCTCTCCCCAGGCATGAGCAGGAGAGGGCTGCCCCCCATGCTGCTCTCCCACACCTTCCCACCTTGACCAATGGGCTGTAAGGCCAGGGCTGCCTGGCCAGAGAAGCTGGGGTTCAAGTCCAGCCCGGCCCTCACCAGCCGTGTGACCTCCAGCCCCTGAGCCTCGGTCTCCTCGTCTGTGCAGAGAGAACATCTCCAAACAGCCAATAGCCCCGGGAGGCGCAGAGCTCCCCTCCCACCCTGGACCTGCCCGCTGCAGGAGCCCAACAGGTCGGCCCCAGCCACCTCACGACGACCACCTCAGGACCCAGATGCTCACCTTGACAACAGGCGGCGTGGGAGGGACCACAGGGACGATGGGCGTTGTGGGAGGAGGCGGTGCAGCAGCAGGGGGAACAGGGACTGATGTGACATTCGCAGTGATGGTTGGTACGGGGGTGGCAGCAATGACAGGCGTCTGGGAGACAGTGGGGGGCACATTCTGGAAGGGGGTCGCTGGGGAGACTGAGGACACGGCCGCCACTTGCTGCGTACCTTCAAGACAAGGACAGAAACTCAGCACAGGAGGCTTCTGCTTATCTCCAGAAGCACCCAGGACCATGCCTTCTAGCCAGAGTGCATCAGGGCCCGGCTGTGAGAGCAGAGCCCGACCTGGCCAAGAGCCCAGCTCTGCACCTTGGGGCAGAAGCTGGGCTGGCTCACCTTGGCTGAGTGCTCACTGTGACAGCAGCACCCTGGCCAGAAACCAGAGGAGGCTGAGGGAGGAGACCAAGAGAAGCCCCACAGCCTGGCACCAAGAACCAGCTGTGGGGTCAGGGGACCTGGGACAGAACTTGGCCATCATCGGTAACCAGCCGAGCAGGCAGCTGCATGGCCGTCTTCCTCTACCTGGCTCCTCTCCTCCATAACCCGCCTGGTCAGCCCGACCCCAGCRCTGGTGCTACTCTACCACCAGGCTCCCCAACAAGGAGCAAGACAGATGACAGTGACGCTCAGGTTACCAATTAGACAGCAGAGAAAGATTTGGAAGGGGAGAACAGGGACACGTGCCAGCAACAATGTCAATGTCCTCCTTGCCCCCAGGCTAGCCACCTCTCCAGCACAAACTGGCACTTGCAGGCTCATCCCACCCATCCCACCCAGTGGACAGGGAAATGGCCCCAAGGGCCACAGGCCTGGCACCCCAGCCCATCTACCTGTGGGCCATGGGCAGAACATCCCCCATCCCCCTCCCCTTTACCTGCACTCTGGGTCCCCGCAGCCGGCTTCCGGCCTTTGCCCTTTGGAGCAGGGGGTAATAACTCAACTTCCTCCTGGGGCATCTGGGCCACTTTCTGCAGAAAAATTTTCTCTAAGGCTTGGGCCATTAGCACTATGTCATCTGTGGGCTAAAGACAGAGAGCCCGGGTCACTTGCTGGGAAAGGAGCATGATCCTGAAATCACACTGTGGGCTGTGGCTCAAGGAAGCCTTCATGTAGAATCTGTTAAGAGATCTGGTGGAGAGGACACTAGACAAACACATTTCAGTGCGGAAACTCCTAGAGCCACCCAGGTACGGTGGCATGCACCCACCACCCCAGTGGCTCAGGGAGGCTAAGGCAGGAAAGTGGCAAGCTTTAGGTCAGCCTCAGCAGACCCTGCCTCGGGATAAAAAATTTTAAAAGGCTGGGGTTGTGACCCAGTGGTAGAGCAGCCCTGAGTTCAATCCCCAGTATCTCAAAAAAATAAATAAGAAACAGCGGCCATGGGGGTATCATGGGGCATAGTGCTTGCCCAGCATGCCCAGCATGCCCGAGGCCCGGATTCCATCCCCAACACAACCAAAAAGAAAAATAAGAAAACCGTAGCCTTCATCCCATCCCATGGGGACAAAGAGCCGAAAACAGCCCAGTACCCTTCATCTCTACTTAAGGTATGTACTATCAAAAAAMACAAAACAAAACAAGCCACGCCTATAATCCCAACAGCTCGGGAGGCTAAAGCAGGAGGATCGTGAGTTCAAAGCCAGCCTCGGCAAAAGCAAGATACTAAGCAACGCAGTGAGACCTTGTCTCTAAATAAAATATAAAACAGGGCTAGGGACGTGGCTCAGTGATCAAGTGCCCCTCTATTCAATCCCTGGTACCCAAAAAAATAAAACCAAAAAACCCCCACAAAACCAGGACCCCAGGCAACTTCCCTAAACTGCCCCCTCCCTGAAACCACTCTGCAGGCAGCTCTGCTCAGCAGAAGTGCTCTCTGCTGTCCAGGCAGCCCCAGGCGGGTCAAGCTCAGACTGCACTGCTCCGAGGTTGCTGGGGTAAGATGTCTAGGCCCAGGTAAGGAGGTCAAGGCTGTGGGTGGTCAGGGACGGCTGTGCTCTGAGCCTGGGCGCCTCCACAGCTTCCTGACTTATGGGGAACCAGCCCTTGGGGCCAACCCAGCCAAGGCCACCCAGGGACTAGGCCATCCTGGGCCCGAACCAGCATCTGGAGCCACATTTGGTGTCTTCTTACCTTGTTGTAAATATAACAATTTGTAAACATGGTGTTGAAGTCCTGCATACATTCACTTGCGCTCCAATAATAATTATTTTCTAGTCTCTTCTTAATAGTCCCCATATCCATCGGGTTTTTTATTATTTTATGATAATCCTAGAAAAGAGATTTTCAGAGGTATCACAAGAAATTCTACATGACTATTTTCTCACTTCCCAAGTGTAGCAAGGGGTCATAATGAGGTCCTCAGGCTGGGTGCTAGAGCTGGGCCACCTGAGGGCAGGTGAGCACTGGGTCTGAGGCCATCTACAGCCAGTCCAAAACTCCTACCTGGAGCTATTGCAGACCCTGAGCTGATCTACGTGCTACAGAAGGGGCCAAGCCCCATCCAGGTAACCTTTTTTTTTTTTTTTTTTTTGTATCAGGGATTGAACCCAGGATTGCTTAACCATTGAGCCACATCCCAGACCTTTTTTATATTTTATTTAGAGACAAGGCCTCACTGAGCTGCTGAGGCTGGCTTTGAACTTGGGATCCTCCTGCCTCAGCCTCCTGAGCTGCTGGGATTACAGGCAAGCACCACTGTGCCTGGCCCATTCTAGGCATTCTAAACCCACCAGTGGCCAGGGGCCAAGCTGGGCCAARAATCTAGACCACCAAGTACAGGGCAGGGGATTCTCCTCGCAATTCTCAGGGTTTCTCTATTTGGGTCCAGATCAATACTGAAGAGGTGCTGGGGGCACCATCGCCTGGAGCTCAGGTCTTGGTGTGCAGCTGACATCGGAAGACAAGTGGGTGTGACAGGCGGACATGCACAMGGCCCCAGGTGAGGCCTCAGTTGCACAGATCCGCTCCTGAGCCCCAACAATGTCAGCACCTCCTGCCTGCTCCCCAACTCCTGCACCCAAGACTGGCCGCCCACTCTCCCATAAGCCCGTAGCCCTGCTGCTCCTTCCTACTGGGGGGTCACAGGCCATTACCCTGGGGCTGTGGGCTACTGGAGGCACAGGATGTCCTTGGCTTAATAGCACCTGCCACATCTCCAGCACCACCTGGCCAAGTCACAGGGGCAAGGCTGGGAGCCCAGGGTGGGCAGAGGGCCTTTGGGTGCAGGGCTACTCACAGGCAGATTGAGTTTGATTGCGTCCACGGGCTGGTAGAAGGGCCAGGCAAACTGATGCTTCCAGAGCGTCTTCACCACCACGTTCTGCATGTACTGCAGCTGGTTGGTCTTGCGGCCGGGCTTGCTGGGGTTGGAGACCTCGGGCGGGGGTGGGTTCACAGGGCCCGGAGCCACCGGGATCCCCGCGGGGGCGGCCGTGGTGGTTGTGGACATCCTCCAGCAGCTGGCTCACTTGCCGTCACGGCTGCAGCTCCAAAAGGCCCTTGCGCCTTCTGTGCTCCCCGAAGAGGCTTGGCATCCCATTTCTGGGCCCAACCAGGCAACACCTGCAGGGGACCAAGGACAGAAACCCGTCATCCCAGAGTCCCCACCTCTGCCAYCTCAATGAAGACACCGCCTGGTCCCAACAAGGCCATTGGCCTTCCCACCTGCCCTGATATGTAGCTGTCACCTGTACACAGGGCCTCTCCAGCCACTGTCTGTCAACCTGGGGGAGGAGGAGTGCCGGATGGTGGGGTAAGACAGCACAGGCCACCTGCTTGCAGGTGGGAACACGGCTAAAGACGGGTGTGCCGAGGACGAAGCCACTTGGCTAGCCGCCCACCAAACCACCACTTGCCAGGGCTGATTTGCTTTCCCCAAACCTTGCACTTTTCTTGGCTGTGGCAAGGTTTTAAGGACAATCCACAAGCAGAGAAAGTGCAGACAACTACAACGAAGCCCCAGGAGAGCCAGGGCCGGTGGGATCAGCAGTGACCGATACGTGTCTACTACAAGCSTGGTGCGGTGCGCGTTCTAATGTAACCAGGAGAACAGCTCTGGGGTTTGTGATGGCGGCTGGCTGTGACACGGCCTGGCCCTCGGCCAATCAGGACAGCGAGGGAGGCGGCTCCGACCCTGCAGTCCACCTCCTCTGCTCCTCAGGGCAAACAAGGGGCTGGAGCTGCTGGGAACACTGGCCCTACCAGAGCTGAGGCCCTGGCAGCCCTACCAATGGCTGGGACAGCGGGAACCGTGGGGAAAGCAGGAGCCCTAGCAGCATGTGCTGGGCACTGGCACCCACCCTCACTCTCCGGAGCAGGAAGCTGGGCAGCTTCACTGTGTGCCCTTCACTCCAGGCCAGGGCTGGCGCTGCACCCCTGCCCTCTAGGTTTTCCAGGTAATGCCCATGTTGGAGAGGAGCCAGATTCTACTGGATGCCAGACAGCCACTGGCAAGTCTCTCCAGAGTGAAGGTGGGCTGGGAGCCGGCTGATGCCCTGCTGGCCCCGTCCAATGCCACAGCGGGCGTATTTGCACCACAGTTGCCAAGGGCCACAACCCAGGGCTCTGCCCCCAGAACACTGGTCGTCAACAGAACAGAACGTCTGCTCCCTCCCAGCCCAGCCACTCCTTGCCCACCAGGCCCCCACCCTGCTTGTCCCTCTTCAGAGAAGGGCCCCTGGCCATCAGGAGCTGTGCTGCACAGCAGCTCCCAGGGTGCCATTCTGGGGCGCCTCAAGGTCCTACATCTGGCCAACTGGGCACCGCCCCTCGCGGTGGCTCAGTGGGGAAGGCAGCCCCACTTGTATGGGCCAATCACCACAAGGCTGTGTCCTCACCTCCAGGAAGCTTCCAGAAAGAAATGACCTGAGACAGCGGCTAGGCACAAGCCTGGGTCACCCTCGGGGGCTCCTCCTACCCCCAGCCTACCAGGACATTTCTGCTTAGCAGCAGCACTCTGGTCAAGACCCTGCTCACCAGAAGCCAGGTCCAGGCACTCACTGGTTCAAAACCCTCTAGGCCTCCCCTGACACCACACTGGCCAGCAGGGCCCAAAGTGACAGGGCTTTGGGACATGTAGCTGCTGCAGCCATGCTAGTCCTCACTTTTCCCAGGCCTCTTGGAACCTTCTGGAATCCCCTGGGTGTAGAGCAGCTAGGACTGCCACAGGAGGCCCAGCCCCAGGACAGGAGGCTGCGCTGCACCCCAGCTGCCTCCCAGCGACGGGAAGCCTGCTCCCTGTGCAGCCAGTGTGTGGACCCCAGGACCCGAGACACAGGGGACACATGTGCCTTGAAGGGGTCTAAGGCCCTTCCACTCCAAGGCGTCCTTCACTCCAAGGCGCCTGGTAGAGATGGACGAGGGACAGCAGGACATGGGCATGGGAACATACCCACCCCAGAGAGCTCAGGGAGCCCAGCCTCCAGGGGAGGGGGAGGTGGGAAGGGGCTCTGAGACGGGGTCCTGGTGGTTCCCAAAAGCCCCAGGCAGCACCTGCTCTTCCAGGCACACCTCAAGCTGAGCCTGGAAGAGTGGCAGGTCTGGGGAAAGCCACCAACAGCCTGTAGAGTCCTGGCTCTACTCTGCCATCCTGCCACCTCACCACCCTCCACCAGACCAGAGCTGCGTGAACCAGGCGTCGGCACACGCTGTGCTATGCCATACCATACCATGCCACGCCACGCCACACCAGCGCTGAACCCACAAGAATGAGGGAGGCCCAGAAACTGCCAGGACAACCTGAGGGCAGCAAAGCCTTGAGGGGTGCCATCACCCAGTGGCCCAAGCCACTGCCCAGCAGGCCCGGGGCCAGAAGGCTTCCAGAAAGAAATGACCTGAGACAGACCCTGGGACGGCACATTGCGAGGCCAAGCTGGGCAGTGGTAAGGTGGGCACAGGCCACTCAGGCAGGACCTTCAGCCCTGCTGGGGCGCCTCCTTGGCTCTCAGTCACCAGTGCCCCGTGGGCTGGGCCTGCAGGCAGGGCCCAGTGGGAGGACTGATAGAAATACCAGGGACGTGAGGGGCTATGCCAGCAGCCCCCTCACCCAGACCATATGCACGTTCACAATGGAGCTGCGTGTCACAACTGTGACCCACCAGACAGACCGTGGAGCATGCAGGATGGGTATCAGGCCCAGGCCCTGTGTCTCTCCATCCTGTGCTCCTGGAATGAGGTCACTGCAGAGCTAGAGAACCACGGCAAGGTGACGAGCGGGACACCAGGCAGTCCAGGAAGGTGTGGTCACAAGGCCATGCCAAGCCCCAGATTGGGTGGACAGAGGGTGGGCCGCTGGCCAAGTGAGCAGCACATCTCCAACAGAGCAGCTCACCATTTGGGATCCAGAGTCAGGCCCCCTAACCCTAAAAGCTCTCAGCTCCTGGCCATCACCCCAAGAGCTCTCCAGGCAGGCAGGGAGCCCCAGGGCCACAGCTCCCCACCTACGAGGAAGTGACGTTTGGGGGGCAAGGAGCCACCTGGCAAATGCTACAGCTGGATGTGCCCATGGGTACAGGGAATGTGTCCCCAGTCACCCCAGGGGTTCCATGAAGCCTACCAAAGTGACATCTGGGGTCCTATCTGACACCCACAGACTTTCGGCATGCTGGTCCCAAGCCAGCTCTGGAAACAGGAAGGTCAGAATTGCACTCAGTGGACCAGGACAGCCCTCACCCCTTGCCCCCTCCCCAGCCAGTTCTGCATTCCATGGGGCAGGGGTGTCCCCCCTGTACGCACACCTCCCCCAGGCCCGAGGTTACCTCCCATCCCAGACAGTCCTCAGCAGGAAAACAAACACTCTAAGGTCAGCCCTCCCTCTGCTGAGGGGACAAGTTTTACTGCAGAACAATTAGGGGGGAAAACTTCATCCCAGAGCTTTGGGACCTACAAGAGAGTGACCTAGTGGCAAGGAAGGCCACCGTGGCTGGGGCTGGCTTCTATGAAGAGCAGGGAATCCCTGGGAGGGAGTGAGGGCAGGTGGCTGGCGGGCTCCATTGTACAGTCCAGAAACCAGGCCAGTGTGACCAAGAGGAGGCCTGGAGCCCGGGGCCAAGGCGTGATGCGGGGAAGCATGTGGGCTTCTGGAGCCCGAGTCTGGCGCTAATTTGCTAGAAATGCTTGTTGGAGAGCGAGCCGAGGGAGTGACCCCAATGCTGACCAAGTACCTGACCATCTTTTGGAACTGGTGCTGATAGATTCGGGTGAAGGTATTGAGGTTATGATTTTCTTTAATACCAGGGATTGAACCCAGGGGGCCTTGACAACAGAGCCACATCCCTAGTGCTTTTTATTTTTTTGAGACAAGAGTCTCACCCCGTTGCTTAGGGCCTAACTTACTTGCGAGGCTGGCCTAGAACTTGCGATCCTCATGCCTCAGTTCAGTTGTTGGGATTACAGACACGGGCCACGGCCACCTGTAAGGTTTTGGTTTTTCAAAGGCCCTTTCAGAGACTCATGGTGGAAGGTGTGTGAGTGGGATGTGTCTGGGATTTGCTGCATGGTGGGGGCTAAAAACAAGCGGGATCTGGACAAAGAGGGACAGGCCGTGAGCTCCCCTGCTCTGGAGGCTGAGCACCCKCTACATCCTGGTCTGCACCCTGTGGAAGATGATGCGCCTTCTCCTTGCCCCTGCCTGGCACACGTGCTCAGCCTCCTGCACCCACTAGGTGACCTGGGAGACCTGGGGACCACAACCTTGTTCCCTGCAAGCAGCTGGAGCCAATGGGAGGGACTTATGTGGCATGGCCAGGGGTGTGCTGGAGAGGGCGCCAAAGGAACCCCAGACACAAGTGGCACACTTAAGGCCCACTATCCCCTGTATTCCACCTGCCCACTGGGGAATGGGCAGCAGGGGGAGATCTAGTCTTCTAGGTAAACGCCCCTTTTCCTGGGGGAGCAGAGGATCCAGCTGGAACTGTGGTGGCAGGGCTGGATGCCAGCCTTCCTGACATGGCCTAAACCTACCCYGTAGAGGGGCCGGGTGCACCGTGCCCTCCATGCAGCCCTGGCTCTGTACACGCCAACAGTACCAGCAGGARCAGCGGCCCTCCCATCCTCCACAGTCCATCCTCCGCGGTCCTCGCAGGCCAGGGCCTAGAAGCAGATGAGGTATGCCCGCTCTGGCCAGGCATGGTGAACCAGGGGTGGACCCCATCTCAGAGTGGGAAACTGAGGCTCTGGGGCCCTTCCTGAGGCCCATCTGTCCCAGGCCTCCTCTGCAGTCTATAGTAAGGGCTCCCAGGTGCTCCCGCCAGGGCCGACAGGGACTGCGCAAGTGTGAGTGAAAGTCCGMAAGTGGCAGAGTCTTGACAGAGGATCTGAAACCACAGAGCGGAAACAGACAGACCGCAAGTCCTCCAACACAAGAGAAAGCCCAGGTCAGAGGGCACCAGGGAGGCCCAGGGCCAGGACGCCACAGGAGCCAGCAGCAAGGGTGGGGCCCCCACACCCAGGCTCTGCCTTCCTCCTCCAAAGGAGCTGAAGATCAGCCCCCCTGAGCTCGCAGAGGGCCAGCGGCAAAGCTATGAGGCCAGTGCTGTTTCAGGGCCTGGAGCAGGGATCACCCC